TCCACCTGTCTGATTCTATGAACATCCACCGGAAAGCCACTTATCGATCACGTGTCGTCGCTGCTAGCTCTGTTAAAATGGTAATATATTCCAAAGTCTCGGCTATATTTCACTGTGTATTATTTGGGGCGGGTAATTTCGCAGATCCGCAATTATTCTTAATTAGCTAGGCGACAAGGGAATAGGATGCCAGCCTGGACGGTGTTTTCGTCAACAATAAAGGCAGGATAGGTAAACAAACTATCGCAGGGAAGTTTGTTAGCAATGCGTGTCACAACTGGTTATGTAGAAATTAAGAACGTGTTGAAGAGAAATATTGCTTAATAATGTAGCACCACGGTGGATAGGGATAGTGTATTAATTGAACACCTCGCTGTGTAAATTAAATGCCACGGAACAATGGACACTGTATCAAATTAAATTAGTGGAAATAGAATATGTTGTATGAATTCAAACAACGATGGCAAAAATAAAAACTGTAAATATTAAAGTAACGTGTTGGAATAATTGGAACATTTACTGTTGCAGCAGCTTGTTATTTCTATGCAGATACTTAACAACAAAACCCGAAGTATACCAGATGTAACATATTACTAAGGGGCGCTTGAAAAACAAACGTTAAACATATGTTGCATGAATTTAGGTTTGTTATGTTGTGATTTTTATCAGTTTTATTAAAAATATTTTACTGCATGTAATTATGTACACACCTGACCAAAGTAGATTTTTACTACTCGTAGTTTAATCTATGAACATTTAGGACATTTGTGGGTTTAATTAAAAAAAAAAACCTGATTGAATTCACTGATTTAAAGCATAATTTCAAATTTATTAATCAATATTAGTATTAATAAAAGATAACCAAGTACACACTAGTCAGTATGCAACAAATAATGACTTATCTCCCAGAATTTCCATTCGTTACACAAAAGCTTGTTCAACAACTGATTTTTTTTTCAGATGTTAAAGGTCACACTTCAATATTTTATTCGACAATTGCGAATTCTTTTTAAATTAAAGTTATTTCGTTCAACTCCATCGACAAAAAAAGGCATGTAAATAGAAATTTAATGAAAAAATTTTAAAACGTCCTCCAGGCGAGATGAAATTAACTCTCTAAAATGGGAAAACATACAATAAAATAGCTTTTTTTTTATAAAAACATTCTTTTAGTGTTTGCTTTATAGAGAAAATACTTTCATAATCACACATTATCTTTCCATGTCCGACGATATTTTAAACATTTTCTTGCTACTGCCTCAGGTGATTTTGCTTTTACCAATTATATATTATGTTTATTTTTCATATCTCGACTGATTTAAAAGAAAAACCCTTTGGAGCATGTAAACAATGCAAAATATCTTAAAGCATGAGTCTTATTACTGTGTAAAACAACCATTAAATTTAGATGTAACTTAATATTAGATCAAGAGAATTCATGTTGAGAGTACACATAATCCAAGTGTAGTCACCTTGGCGATGACTTCGATTAAATTTATATCCGATTAACCTAAAGAACTTTTTCTGAACTCTTTCCAACAAACAAGAATCAACATTGTAGTAAGGCCGCCAAACGGGAGAACAGTACTCAAGATGTGGACAAACAAGGGAAACATATAAAGTTTTCAAGTACCAAGGTGATAACTGTTTACAATGACGCTATATATAACCTAACATATTCATCGCGTTGTTAAAAATTAATTGATAATGAGGCTTAAAAGTAAGTCTAGAATCAAAAATGACCCCTAGATCTTTCACCTCTTCAACTCTAGAAACTAAAGAATCACCAAGATAATAATCTGCTGTAATGATCGTTTTAATTTTACCGAAAGATATAATGTTACATTTCTTTATATTGAGGGGTAGCATATTAATAATGGTCCAGTTCTATAAACGTTGCAAATCCAATTGAAGATCAGAAGCATCATCATTATTTCTAATTGTCTTAAACAATTTAAGATCGTCAGCAAACATCAAAACCATGGAATATTTGAAGCAAGATGTTATATCATTAATAAATAATAAAAACAATATTGGGTCACAGTGTGAACCTTGAAACACACCTGAAGAAACTAAAAAGTATGCTAATTTACCAAATTTAAAGAGGAGAAGTCTATGGTTAACCCTATCGAATGCCTTGGCTTATATTTTGTCCACTTGTTCTTAATCTACGAAGTCTTCTTTTCCTAACAAGAAACTGAAGACAAAGTTAACCATCGTATTGTTCAAAGAAAATTATATATATTAAGAAAAAAAAAAGATTAAGTACGACCTACCCGTCCCGATCTCAATTGTGATGAATTTTTCATTCGTTGTTAGACCGAGGGGCGGAGCTTAATTGCAAATTACATATTTCCTTACAAAAATTTTACATTTAGAATATGTTTTAAGTTTCTTGTTGTGAAAAGAAGGCAACGAATGATAAAAAAAGGAAAATATAAACCCCGCCCACTCACCCTATCTCAATAGTGATGATTTTTTTTTATTCGTCGTGAGCCGGAAGGTGAAGCTTAGTTGCAAAATGCTTAAAAAAAAACTATACATTTCGAGTTAAAAAAAGCCAAAGATTAAGCCCCACCCGCCGTGATCTCAATTCAGATGAGTTTTTCATTCGTAAGTAGACCGAGAGACGGAGTTTAATTGCAAAATCCATATTCCTCTACAAAATTTTACCCTTTTAAAACATATTTCACCCGGTAATTTCTTGTGGAGAAATGAGGATTTTGCAAGTAAGCTTCGCTCCTCGGCTCACAATGCATAAAAAATCGTCACAATTGAGAAGGAGCGGGTGGGCGGAGCTTATATTTTTTCCCTTTGTTCTTAATATACGAAGTCTTCTTTTCCCAACAAGAAACTAAAGACAAGTTTAACTATCGCATTGTTAAAAAAAAACTATATACTTAAAAAAAATTAAGCACGTCCCAATCTCCATTGTGATAAAGTTTCCATTCGTTGTTAGACCCAGGGGCGGAGCTTAATTGCAAAATACATATTTCCCTACTAAAAATTTTACGTTTCGAATGTGTTTTGCATTTCTTGTTGTGAAAAGAAGGCAACCTATGACAAAAAAAGGAAAATATAAACCCCGCCCACCCACCCTATCTCAATTGTGGTGATTTTTTATTCGTCGTGAGCCGAGACGTGAAGCTTAATTGCAAAATGCTTATTTTTTATAAGAAAATGCTATGTGAAACATGTTACTAAGTTATCGTGTTCTTTAAAGAAAATTATACGTTTTGAGTACAAAAAAGCCAAAGATTAAGCCCCACCCGCCGTGTTCTCAATTCAAATGAGTTTTTCATTCGTAAGTAGACTGAGGGGTGGAGTTTAATTGCAAACTCCATATTCCTCTACAAAATTTTACCCTTTTAAAACATATTTCACATGATAATTTCTTGTGGATAAATGAGGATTTTGCAGCTAAGTTTCACTCCTCCGCACACTGTGAATAAAAAAAATCATTACAATTGAGAGGGGGCGGGTGGGCGGGGCTTATATTTTGTCTATTTGTTCTTAATATACCAAGTCTTCTTTTCCCAACAAGAAACTGAAAACAAGTTAGTCCAAGGGGCGGAGCGTAATTGCAAATTACTTATTTTCCTACAAAAATTTACCATTTTGAGCATGTTTTGAGTTTCTGATTGTTAAAAGAAGGCAATGTATATTAAAAAACAACAAAATATAATCCACCTGCAGCCTTTCCGCAAAGGCATCGTTCAAAAAACAACAATACTCTAATAAATTCGACAGAGTACACCTGTTTTTGCAAAAAACCATGCTTTTTATCGGACAACAGATTAACTGACATCCACTCTATTTTGCTTACAAATTAAAAAATCCAGCATTTTAGGAATTGCGGACTAATTGCAGCCCCCCCCCCCCCGTAGTTAATAATTAAATCACGTTTTCCCGATTTATAAATGGAAGTTACATAACTATTTTTCCATATCTCAGGAAACTTACATTCAAGCAAAGATAATTCAAACAAAGAACACTATGGCTAAGTAATCGTACAAATACACGTTTTTAACAAAAAGCTAGGAATGCCATCAGGACCAGGACTTAATGAAGATTTCTATCTGAGATATAATCCCTATTAGTTACCCTCAAATCGTTTACTTTCATCTTGGGACTAAAATTAAAATTATCCGCCAAATCGTAGTTATTATTCTTATCATAAACTGATGAGAAAAAATTTGCAAACAAATTGGAAACGTCTTGACCACCTGAAGAGGATATTTCATCAAAAAACATTTCATTCGGAATACCATTACAATCCTTTTTGTTTTTGATAAATTTCCAAAAATATGCCGGATCATTCAATATACAACCATCAACCTTGCGAAGATAGGAAGCAGAAAGACTGTCATTAAGTTCTTTGCAACCAGGTCTAACAGATTTAAAGTATAAATAATCCTCAAGGTTGCCAGAAACTTGAAATGCCGACTTTTTCGTTTTGTATAATTCAATTAATTCCTTATCGAACCATCTTGGGCATGACAAACAGTCAGTTCATAATTTAATTGTCCCAATCTATTCTGTAATTTTTATACCAAACTTATGACGGCTGGAACTTATTGCTAATTTTGCTATGTTTGAAATTTTTGCAAATTTAGAAGTTCTGTCGACTGTTAATTGCTCATTTTGACTCTTCATTAAATTTAATTAAATAAAGTTGACCTATCCTAGTGTAACAGGATAATTAGTCATAAAAGTTGAATAAACTTAACAGCAGGAATTTCTCGAAATTATCAGTAAAAAAACCCAAAAATGCGCTGGGTATTTTTACTGATAATTTTGGGAAATTGCTTGATTCAAAACACTATTTCTGTATAATCTTGCGAAGATATTATCTTTAAAACTAAATATTCTGCACCAAGGTAATCTGCAAGTTAATAACGTCAATTGACCTAGGGGTAACAATATCTTGTACAAAATAGATAAGGTATAACTATATAAGCTTACTCTATTCAACACTCCTAGACACGTCACTGTCACCATTTCTGAGTTAATATGGCTGGAAGTAGTAAGTGTATCAAAAACAAATTTGAAAATATTTTTTAACTTGTCAAAATTTATTACAATTTCAGCTACCTTTTCGTGGGTCAATTCCTGCATTGGGGACAAAACCGTCCCACCCATGGCCGTCCCGATGGGTTTCGATGCCCAAGGTCATCCCATTTACATTGAACGAGCCCACTTTAATAACGAATTGACCCCCGCTCACGTCGTTCCAGCAAGACGAGTCGCCTATGTACCTCACAATGGGAAAGAACATATCGTGGAAAATTATCAAGTGAGTATTTCCTGTTTTTACAAATTTCGGTTATACCAGGTTTTTGTAGCTTTTGTGTATAAACCTGAAATGGGTGCCAGCTCAAGGGGGACAAGTACCTCCAGGGGCGGTACAAACTGGACACAATAAGGATGGATCTCCGTTGTATGTGGGCAGAGTGTGTCATGGTGGGGCCTGGATTGTCGGAAAGGTGGTCAACTTTAATCGCTAGTCCTATTTCTGTGTAACATTTTTTTTTGTAGATACATCCAAAGTTTTCTGTTTGTTGCTTTCCTTGTCATGGTCAAGAGTTAACGGCCGATAAATACGAAGCCCTGGTGTGCCATATGTGAACATGGTTTCTTAGCAACAAAGAAGAGTCATTTAGAAGAAATGAGCATTCATTCTGCATTTTTTGTCTTCATATTTGCTTGTAACACACTTAGATTTATAATATACTTACTTTAAGACGAAACCACTTGCCTTTTACTCTTTTAGAATTAACAAACAAGCCGTTTTAATGTCCGAATGCGATAAGCGCATTTTCAAACAGTATTCTGATAGTTATGGTGGACTCTGGAGGTACAATAAAATGATGACTTGGTTGATTGTTGTTTTCAAAATTTTTGATGAAACAGCTAAAAATCCTGGTTTAAAAAAATTCCCGGTACAAGTTTTTTCCCGGAGCATAATTAAAACCGAAACGAGCACATATGGATCCCGCCAAACAACAAAATTCTACTTAGCACAATTAATTCTAGATTTTAGACATTATAACTTTTAAACTAAATACACAAATACATTATTACGTATTGTTTAAATTTGTCACATAATAAACCACATTTATAGTATAAAAGGGTTAAATTCTAGCTTCGGCTGGTAACACAGGAATGGAATCAGTATTGTAAATAATACAAAGCACAATCTCCGTAGAACTCCAACGACCTTTAAGCTCTAACAAACCATTAACAAAGTTATTAAGCCCAGAAACAAATTTGATAGGATGGATTTATTAACAATTATTTGTTGAAAATATAAATTATTACAAAATATTGTTAATACTAATAATTAAGCCATAATTATTTAATAATATGATATATTATCTCGGCTGAGCCTCATTCTCTCCACTTCATCGTCTAAATAATTCAATGATACCAAGTGTTGAAACGTATCGATTAATTATAGCTTTAAAAAACTTATACGATCGATAAAATGGCGCAATCATGTGGTGTTCGAATACTGAAATTGCTTACTTTTCTTTAATATCAATCCCACTGAACTATACACAGTGATCAAAAAATAACCAACCCATTTATTTTTCTGCTTATTGTTCTAAAATCTTAATTTTCTATACCCCTAAGCACATGTTTCTTGAAGGTTACGTCTAATATTTCTGGTTCCGAGTACTATAAAGAAAGATAATACAACCCGAGTTTTGGGAAAAAAGATCGGGCGAAGATGCCAACAGTTCTATAACCCAAATCAACTTTTCTGCGTAAACGATTAAAGAACAAATTTTATTGCACAGCTAAGTACGTAAGCAGGTTTTAAAATATTTAAAACATTCATTTAAGTACAAACCCCGACACAACTTGTCTGTTTCTTTAATGTGTTAAATACACCAAACCCTTCTACAACTTTCTTTTCGAGTTCTCTTCCTACATCAATTTTCAGAATTTCATGATCTTCAAAGCTTTTAGAATGGCAAGAATTTCTGGAATCTTTCTCATTCCTGAAATTTCTTAAATTTTTCCAATATTTATGATCTCTAATATCCTCAAGCATAGCGTATTTCTAAGAATTCTGGAATATCCAGGATCTCTAAAATCTCCAAATTTTCAAGATTTACAGAAACATTGAAAGAACCTTCAGAATCTTCAAAGTTTTCAGAATCCTGAGACTTCCTAAAATCTTTCACATCTTTGGAATTTATTAAGCTTTTGCAGTAATTGTGATTTCTAGGATGGTTTATAGTATATCTAGAATTTCTGAAATATCTAAGATTTTAAGGATCTCTAAAATCTGTAAAATCTCAAAAATTACAGAGATTTTGAAAATCTTTGAAACGTTTGGGAGAGTTTTCAAAATTTAAAAATCATCAACATCTTCAGAATGGTGAGAATCCCGGGAATTTATTGAGCTTCTGCAGTATTTGTGATTTCTAGGGTCCTTAATTAAGGTCTGTAGTATATCTAAGATTTATATATAGTAGGTATCTCTAAAATCTGTCAAATCTCAAAAATTACAAAGATTTTGAAAATTATTGAATCGTCAGTATAATCTTCAAAATTCAGATTTTTTAAGATCTTCAAAATAGTGAGAATCCCTGGAATTTTTCACATTTCTGTAATTTATTGAGTTTCCACAATATTTGTGATTTCTAGGATCCGAAAGATTTGTAATATATCTAGGATTTGTGGAATATTTAAGATGACTAAGATCTCTAAAATCTGTAGACTCTCAAAAGTCACAGGGATATTTAAAATTTTTCCTGAAATCTTTCACATCCCCGGAATTTATTGAGCTTCTACCGTTATTGTAATTTCTGGATGGTGTATAGTATACCTAGAATGCCTAAAATCTCTAAGATTTTTGGTATTTCTAAAATCTGTATAATCTCAAAAATTACAGGGATTTTGAAAATCTTTTAATCGTTTGTGAGAATTTTCAGAATTTCCGAATCTTCAAGGTTTCCAGAATAGTGAGAATCGCGGGAATTTATTGAACTTGTACATTATTTGTGATTCTTAGGGTCCTCAATTAAGCATATCTAGGATTTCTAGGACCTCTAAAATCTGTAAAATCTCAAAAGTTACAAGGATTTTGAAAATCATTAAATCGTTGCGTTGGTAGAATCTTAAAAATTTCACAATCTTCAAGATTTTTAAATCCCTGGAATATTTCGCATTTCTAGAAGTTATTGAGTTTCCATAGTATTTGTGATTTTTAGGATCCTAAAGATCTGTAACATATCTAAGAATCTGTCAAATCTCAAAAGTAGCAGGGATTTTTAAAATCTTTGAATCGTTTGAAGAATCTTCAGAATTTTTAAAGTCTTCAAAATCGTAAGAATCACTAGAATCTTTGCATTTCGGAAATTTATTGAGTTTCTAGAGTGTTTATGATTAATAGGATTTCTGCAATTTCTAGGATCTCCAAAATCTGGAAAATCTCAAAAGATACAATTATTTTGAAAATTTTTGAGTCATTGGAAAAATTTTTAGAATTTCATGAATTCATGATCTTTAATGTTTTCAGAATGGCAAGAATCTCTGGAATCTTTAATCCCAGAAACTTCTTGAATTATATCATATATTAGGCATAGAGTATGTACATTTAAGATGTCTGAAATATCAAAAAAACTCTAAAATATGCAAATTCTCAAGATTTACAGAAAACTTTGAATCCTTTAAAGAAATTACAGAATCGCGAGACTTCCTAAAATCTTTCATATCTCTGGAATTTATTAAGATTCTACTGTAATTGTGATTTTTAGAATGGTTTGTAGTATATCTAGAATGCCTGAAATCTCTAAGATTTTTAGTATTCCAAAAATCTGTAAAAGCTCAAAAAATACAGGGATTCTGAAATTTTTTTAATCGTTCAGGAAAATTTTCCTAATTTCAGAATCATCAGGGATTCCAGAGTAGTGGGAATCCCGGGAATTTATTGTGGTTCTACAATATTTGTGAGTTCTAGGGTCCTGAATTAAGTATATCTAGGATTTCTAAAGATTTCGAAAACCATTCAATCTTTAGTAGAATCTTCAAAGTTTCAGAATCTTCAAGATCTTCAAAATCGTGAGATTCCCTGGAATATTTCGCATTTCTGGAATTTATTGAGTTTTCACAGTATTTGTGATTTCTAGGATCCTAAAGATCTGTGATAGTCTAGGATTTGTGGAATATCAAGGATTTCTAAGATCTCTAAAATCTGTAAAATCTCAAAAGTTGCAGGGATTTTAAAAATCTCTTAATCATTGTAAGAATCTTCAGACTTCTCAAGGTCTTCAGAATCCTGAGAATCTCTAGAACCTTTCGCAATTCTGAAATTTATAGAGCTCCTACAGTATTTATGATTTATAGGATTTCTGAAATTTCTAGGATCTCCAAAATGTATAAAGCCTCAAAAGATGCCCCTGATTTTGGAAATATTTGAATCATTGACAGAACTTTCAGAATCTTCAAAGTCTTCAGAATCGTGAGACTTCCTGAAGTCTTTCACGTCTCCGGAGTTTATTGAGCTTCTACAGTAATTGTGATTTCTAGAATGGTCTATAGATACCTAGAATGTATGAAATTTCTAACATTTTTAGCATTTTTTAAATCTGTAAAATATCAAAAATTACAGGGTTTTTGAAAATCTTTTAATCGTTTGGGAGAACTTTTATACTTTCAGAACCTTCAAGGTTTCAAGAATAGTGAGAATCCCGGAAATTTATCGAGCTTTTAGAGTGTTTGTAATTTCTAGGATCCTAAAGATCTATAATATATCTAGGATTTCTAAGATCTTTAAAATCTATAAAATCTCAAAATCCCTAGAATTTTTCGGATTTCTGGAATTTACTGAGCTTCAACATTATTTATGATTTATAGGGTGTCTGCAATTTCTAGGATTTCCCAAATGTGCAGAAACCCCAAAAGATGCAGGGAATCATTGAAAGAAACTTCAGAATCTTCAACGTCTTCAAAATCGTGAAACTTCTTGAAATCTTTCACATCACCGAAATTTATTGGGCTTCTACAGTAATAGTGATTTCTAGGATCGGCTATAGTGTATTTAGAATTTCTGAAATATTTAAGTTTTTTAGAATCTCTAAAATCTGTAAAATCTCAAAAATTACAGGGATTTTGAAAATCTTTGAAACGTTTGGGAGAATTTTCAAAATTTCAAAATCTTCAAGGTCATCAGAATGGTGAGATTCTCAGGAATTTATTGAGCTTCCACAGTATTTATGATTCCTGGAATCTTTCCGATTTCTGGGATTTATTGAGTTTCCATAGTATTTCTGATTTCTAGGATCCTGAAGATTCGTAATATATCAAGGATTTGTGGAATATCTACGATTTCTAAGATCTCTAAAATCTGTAAAATCCCAAAAGTTACAGGGATTTTTAAGATCTTTGAATCGTTGGAAGAACCTTCAGAATTTTTAAGGTTTTCAGAGTAGTGAAAATCCCGGGAATTTATTGAACTTTTAGAGTATTTGTGATTTCTAGGGATCTCAATGAAGTAGGTATATCTAGAATTTCTAGGACCTCTAAAATCTGTAAAATCTCAAAAGTTAGAAAGATTTTGAAAATCATTGAATCGTTGGCAGAATCTTCAAGATCTTCAAAATCGTGAGAATTCCTGGAATCTTTCGAATTTCTGGAATTTATTGAGTTTCCACGGAAATTGTGAACTCTAAAATCATAAAGATTTGTAATATATTTAGGATTTGTTGAAAATGTAGCATTTCTAAGATCTCTAAAA